CTGAAAGCTGGCTATGATTCCATTCAAGATGACCAGGCTAAAAGACTTCAACCATCACTTGACAACAACTCGAACGCAAAGCGATCTTTTGCAGCGAAAGCTCTTGATTTCACCGGCCCTAGCACATGTACTTCTTTGCCTCCAAGTCCTACATTTGAGCCGCTACTATCTCTGCCTTGTACGCCTCAATCTTCTAATGCATCAGCTATACTGCTACCTACTCTACCCGTCAGTCCAATAATCGCTGAGAAATCGCCGCATGTTCACACGACAAAGCTCGCAGCTCCAGTATTGTCTACTCCAAAGCCAAGGCCGACCGAACCTAAAGTCAGCTTGTGCATTGAATACCCAAGCAAAACTATCAATAAGAAACTTGGTCCAGACGTGGACTATACACCTTTCACTACCTTTCACACTTCTTTGCTCATTTCTTTGTCCCTTTTGATCTTACAAATTGTTCCCTGTCTGTTCCTCGGTTCGTCTTTGTCTTTAACGTGGGTTAGTAACTGACGTAGTGTGCTGATGGGTTTGTGGGCGACACGGATATTGAAGGGTAGTAAGATGTGCGAGATGTTTCCAGACATGCCTTTTATGTACAGTATGGTTGCTGTAGTTGTAGGGGTTGCGGTGTCGTTTGTTTCGGTAGTGGTAGTGGGTTGGTGAGTGTTTCGTCGGATGAAGTCGTTGTTGTAGTTGTTCTTCGTAAAAACACAGAGAAGGTATTTGTTCTCGTTGGAGAAGCTGTCTGTCCAGTGGCATACTAGTTGTATGCGTCGTGTTAGAGTTCTGATAGTTGTGGCTTTGTGTGATGTACGGTTGTAGGATGACTCGTCTAGTAATCTGTTGGTGTGTGTCGGTTTCCTGTAAACTGTCGTCCGTAATGAGTTGTCGTTGCGGCTTACCAGGCAGTCTAGAAAAGAAAGTTTGTCATTTTCTTTGACTTCTCTGGTAAACTGTATGTCAGTGTTTTGTTCATTTAGGTGGTGGTGGAATGCGTCAATTTCGTCGTGTCGAACGGCGGTGAATGTGTCGTCATAACGTAATCAAAGCAGTATCGTTTGTCGGCAAGTCGAAAGGGCGCATTCCTCGATGTTCTGCATCACAATTTCTGCTATAACAACAGAAACTGGAGACCCCATGGCAGTGCCGTTTAACTGTTTGTACTGTTTACCGTTGTATTGAAAGTAAGTAGATGTTAGGCAAATGTTTAGCAAGTCCATAATGCCGTCTGTCGGTAGCGGTAGTGGGTCGGTAGATTGTCGGATTGCAGTCTGAGTGCACTGTAATGCCAATTGAAGTGGAATACTTATGAACAGTGATTTCACATCAAATGACACTAGTTTGTAGTCGTCGGGTATCTGAACAGTCTTGGTAGCGTTAATGAAGTCTTCAGTGGATTGTAGTTTATGTCTGGATTTGTCGGTTAGGAGTTGTATTATTGTCGTCAGGTACTTGGATAGGTGATATGTGGGAGAGCCACAGAAAGAAACAATAGGTCACATTGGGAAACCAGGTTTGTGTAGTTTCGGCAAACCGTAGAGTCTCAGTGGCTGTGGTGCCAAGCACCTCAGTGGATAGTACGGTTGGGTGTCAAAGGCATTCATTTTCTTGAGTGCCTCCAAGCCTCCTACATCGGAGAGATTGGCAGAAACCTCACAGCAGGACTGACTGAACACAGACGGGCGACGAGGAAAGGTGATGTCAGCAATCACATTGCTGAACACCATCGACCTACCAACCACAACATTGACTGGTACTCTGCGCAATGCCTAACCTACAGCACTGACCAATTTCAACGACTGACTCTGGAAAGCTGGTTTACTAACTCTGAACAGACTCCCCTAAACAGATGTCAACAACTACCCGCTCCATACAAACGACTCATTCACGACATAAACATCACAAACGACCGAAAAAGAACAACCTAACGTTACCGACAGATCGAAACAGACCAATCACGACTGCCTTACGTCATTTGAGTCTTACAGCCAATGACATTACGGCAAAACCAACCGATCATTTCACACAAACTGGAATAAGAACATTCTACTGACAACAATCATTCACTTGAATCTGATGATGACTTCCTCACAGGTTGTCAAAACGTCAGTCACTACCACCGACAATAGTTCTTCTCAGGACTACACTCACCCGGACGATCAGACTACACCTTCAAAACATATTATATTCCTGCGTTTCACTGAAAACAACATGCAACAATCATAAAAAAAAACATCCACGAGGCTCGTAAGGGTATAGCCGCAACTTGTGTCGGTTAAAAGTACTAACAGGTCTGGGCATTCATCATGAGTGCAATAAATTCAGAGATTCCAAACAAATGTTTAAGGTCTAAGTGGATAAAACTTGTCAGTTTAAGAACTGAACAATCATGCAGCATCAACATATCAGAAGTGAGGAAATTCGTGAAATAAAGCAATCAGTAGCCATCAGAGTAGGATCAACGAAAATTAAAGAATCTAGCTTACAACAAATCTTCGTTACAGCTTCTGAAATAGGCAGGACTGTATTAAATTAATGAATAGAAAGTACTGAGAATATTACCATCAGTTAGCTCACCTCAACGCATCTTGAATTGTCTACTGTCAAAATGATTATGTTTCCAGAGGGTTTGACCACCTTCACGGAGATATGGTGTTGTTGTGTGTGAAAGAAAGTATTGTCTTTAACAACTGATTGTTACAAGTAGGTCGCTTGATTAATTTTCTTAGCAATTTTTTTACTTTTGCATAAGGTTCTTTCTTGACACGCTTATTACTTTTCAACGATAAAAAACAGGGGGACACCGTGCTAGTGCTTCAGTTACTTGTTATTTAAGCCAAAAAAAAAAGGGTGTTTTTAAGACGCTATAGTGTTTCTATGGTAAGCTGTTATTTCATGCGAATATAAATTGGAAGTTGGGACAAATCAAAACAATAGAGCTTGAAAATTCTGGAAACCTGAAGCAGCCACCTCAATTTGACCTTTCTGCAAATACTACAATTCAGACTCCGTGTGGTCCCATTTTGTCCAAACCTTCGCTTTGTGTTAGAAATCTCGCCATACATAACTCACCTTAAGCTTAAATCTAACCCAGATACAGCTGTTTACGGAAGTATATATGAAAAATATGGGATACTCTGATAGAAAGTACTTATTATAATAATAGAAAGTACCTGTGGAAAATTATTATATTCGGAAACAGTATATTCGGAAATAGCAAATCCAACTGCTTCTATTTCTGCTGCTGCTGCTGCCGTTGCGTGACCAGCTGCTGGTGGTGTTACTGCTACTGGCGATGCAAGCACCTGTCGGTACAATTAGTTTGTATCAATGTAGAGCTTTGCACTCAAAAAGAAGAAAAACAAATGTGGGCGAATCTTTCTCAAAAATAAATGAATCTGGTAAATATTCTTATTTTGTGGATCGAAGCTTGCGGGAAAAAGGTTGGATGGTGACATTAAGTTATTGCAGAATGTCACTGTTGAATAATAACAAAAATAACTGTTATACCTCTTTCTGTGCATCAGCTGTTTCCTGTAACATAATAAGTATAATGTTAGCCGTAAGCTTAGTTTTGAGTAAATGCACCTTTTTCATCTGAACAAGTTAATTGTAAACAAAATTCAAGTGCATTGTAGATAATGTAATTAATATTGGTGTTAAGCACTGACATCCTGTAGCCTTTTCAAAGAATACTTCAGGGATGCTTGTAACGCTGCATCTTCTTGTTGTTGCAATTCTCTTGTGTCCTCTAACTTGCCTGTCGTTAAATAAACTTCCAATGAAATATTGCTAAACACAGTGCCATACCATGCAATTGGTTTTCAAAGTAGCTACTGGTATATGTATCACTGCTATTAAGTGCATTTTAATAAGTGACTTTGTCATTTCAAAACAGCATGCAATTATGTCATTATTAATTCTTTCTGTTAAATACCAAAATAAGAGAGCAACCTGCATATTTAGGATTCCGTATAATTTATTATATGTATATTGGAAACAACTTCCATTTACTTTACTGCATAGAAAAGGCTTGACAAGTTGTTTTCCTTTTTTAACAACCCAGTGAGTGAGTAATTACATAGAAGGAAGTCAAAATATGTAGTCTACTGTAAGTATACCTGTGTGAAGAGATGGCCTTTACATGATGGAGGTTCACTGTGGCATGTCTGATCACCTCTTCTGCAGTCAGTTTATCTCCTAGTGATAAGAAAATTGGATCATTAACTTATTGAGGCTGGTCCGCTTTCTCTGAGGAAACATGAGGCATGCATCAATAACATCGCATACCATACTGCCATGCAGCAATGACTTGACGTTTGGTAACACCAACTTGTTGTAAAATCAAGACATGGGCACCACTCAGGGGACGTGGATCTTCACCAACACGTTCAAGCATTTGGGACACACAAGGTGATCTCTTGTGTGCCACAAAGACCAAGCAGCAGCCTAACACTGTTGATAGTTCTGTATCCTCGTTAAGTGTCCTTCAGAATAAAAGGAATATACTTTAATCTGTACTAAGAAACAATACAAGACTGGCGAAAGACTTAGATCTAATGTTTGGGAACTAACTATAGAGTCACCAAAGTTTGTGTCTTAAGGATGAAAGAAGGAAGAAACATTTACATCATTCATCCATGAATATCAATTCTTACATGAAGTGGAATACTTCGCAGATAATCTAAGCTCAAGATAAAGACATTTACTTCTGGCATGTTCTGTTTTGTAAAATTTGAATGAATGATTATTTGTTTGATAGTTTTAAGCTTAAATTACCTGGTGACATTGACACTCTCATCACTCTCTCATCACTCTCATCAAACAGGATCACCACAATTGGTGTCAGGTTTTGGTGACTCTTTACAACAGCCTAAACAAAATCCAAGGTTTAAATCAAATATAGTTGTTAAAAAGAGTATGTATATAACACTGCAAGATAGAAAACAACTATGCACAGACAAACACTTTCAAACATCTCGCCAAATTTGTCTCTTCCTGAGTACATAAGCAAAATCCTTGCCTGGTCAAACGTAAATGGGCATGGGGTCCACATTAATCTTCTCCCAAGGAGGAGGTACAGCAGTTGGACCTGCTGTAAGGGTCCTTCAATTTCTGTTATCAAAACAATTTTTCAATCAGTTAATCAGACCTTTACAAATAAGAACAACCTTTAATCATGATCTATGGTGACATTCAATAAGCCTTTTGCAGCTAGAGGTCACGTGCTTGGAAACCCCATAGCAACAGCTTGCTGGACTGCAAGCATTCCAGTAAACAAAAGTGCTATAGAGGTCAAGCACGTGTGGTTTCAAACAAAGGTTTTAAGCGTTTTAGATACTTAGTTTTTTTTTAATCTTGTCATTATCGTCAAGTATCGTACTGAACCCTTTTCAAACGCTCGCTTCAGGAAGCTTTGCGGATGCAAACGCTCGTCGCCATAAATCACAATGGCGACTTCGCAAGGTATGTGTAGTGAACAATAAAAATAGAACATTACGTGTTTAAACTATTTTGGTCGAAAACTACTAGGAAACAAAAGTCTATTTAATAAAAAAATTATTTGCAAGGAATGAAGACCGTAAATTCTCAAACAAGGACATTTTAGTAACATATGATCAAGAGACACAAGACATTTCTCGCCTTCCAGTGGGTTTTAACAACCAAATTAATTACCCCGATGTCTGCCCTCTATCACCAGAGAGAGGTCAAGCATTTTGCAAGTATCATTGTGGAATGGCTATGAGAAATAATATTCCCCATGGATTACATGCTTTTGTTGAATACTGTGCCATTTCAGGTAATTTATCAACCTGTTGAAATGTTCGAATTTTTTCTTAGTTAAGCTAATATTTCATGATAGACTTGACTGATGATGTCAAGGGAGTAAAGCTTCTTTTCTCATTTCATCTGCAATACAAAGTTGCACCCACCAAATTACTCATAATAACTCATACTGCTTAAGGGTTATAGTTAAGGAATGATTCAAAACATCAGAGGATGACTAACTCAAGGAGAATTTTTACAGCAATGCACCTGGAAACTGCATTTGCAATTTTTAATTTTCCTTTTTTTACATTTTAAGTTAATTGAAGTATAATCATTTGAAGGTTTTATTGCAAAGTTTCTCTTTAATCTATATTACCATTTATCAAGGACCTCAAAATATAAGGCTTATCTTTGTTTTTTGACATGTTTTGATCAACCTTAAGATTGGCGTTAGAGCTGTTGTTTACATCTCTATTAATTCATTTCTCTTTCTTAGATAATAGCAGAGGAGATAACAAATCAACGTATGATAAAATCGAAGAAAAATTAAAAGCTTGCTCTCAGTCGGAGGGCAAATTTGAACAAGTTGATGCAATAACTTTCCAAGGTTTGTGATAGCTCCATTTTGTGTTTTAAGCACTTTTTGATATAAATTTGATACATTTTGTTTTTAACTAGTTTTTATTTTTCAACAGGTACTAGACAATTCATTCGCTCAAATGCAAAATTTGTGAACGAGTGTGCTGAGCCAATTCCTAAATTATGCAATAAGGACACTGGTGGGCTTAAGACTTTACATAGCTGGTCCAGAGGTGTTTTTTGGGTTGTAAGTGGTGGTGGGCACATAGACTACTGGCAACCACTCTATAGGTAAGTTGTAAGGCATGTCATTATTTTGGTTTTCCTTCTCTTAATTTTGTGTGCCATTTGTGTCTCCAATAGTTATTTTGAACTGTATCCTGGTGTGCCAGTATGTTCTAAGCCCATGAATTTGTTTCTGTTCTGTTGGATTTCATGAATAACTCAATTTTGCTCATTTCTTACTTAACAGGTCTGAGTCACCTCCTCAAGCTTTTTTAATATTGATTTTGTGGTTGTATCGGAAGTTTAAACCATTGGTAGATAAGGGGTTGCCATCACATGAACTGGAGGAGAAAATGACAAATACAATATTGGCCTATGACAACATGTGCCATGTTGACGGACTGAAAGTTGCTGCAAAAAAGCTGCCCTTTTCACCCCCATTAGATAAAGTTTGGACATCCGTCATCAAGGTAATTGACAAGTTGCACATCTGTAATCACAAGGATGCTAAGTGTAAGACCGTATACAATCCAGAGGGAAAAGTACCAGAAGGTTTTAACACTATGGCTGCAGAACAAACTTTTGCCTGGGGCAGTAGGCTTAAGCGAATAATATGTGCCATGCCTAGACTGCACCAGTTCTTCTACTTGCATAGGGCTGTGAAACATCGTAACAAGTACACAGAAAACTGTCACAAGTTAAGCAAATGCCCTCTTCTTTCAAGGCAGTCTAATCTCTAAGTTGGCAGGCTGAATTTGTAGAGAAGGCTTAAATTAGCTCAATTGAGCTCAAGAGCAGTTTTAAGCCACGTATGTCATATTGTTATGAATGTTGAGTATTATCAAATGAGACAGGTTGATAACGTTACTGTTTTCATTTCATTTTGAAATAATGTGGTAGTTACAAACAACGTTTGGAAGAAAACAAATTCATCTATATTAAGGTTGAAAAAAAATATGCTGACTAATTCAGGTAGCAATTGCTTTCCATGACTTAACTAATGATGCACAAATAACTTAATTCTTGTGGGCAAACTTGACATTTTTGGGTAAAAGAAGAAAGCTTTGTGTAGTTGTTTGAATGTGTACCCTGGTCCACCTGTCATTAACAAGACATGTAATAAGCAAATAATTTTCTTTAAAAGATTACCATATTAGAACAGTAACCATATTAGTTAAGCCATGGATGAATACAAGTTAGCTTTCTTTACCATTTTTCCTTTGATAACATCTGTCAAAGTGGGCAAAGTAGGCTTCACTTTAATTTTTTTTCCCAAAAAAATTAATGATGTTTGGTTTTGGCGATTGTCCAATGAACACACATATCTGTTCATGTAAATAACAAATGAAGCTTAAAAACAAATATTGTCCGAGATTACTCCCGATGCTGGTTCACAATCAAATGAGGACTGTATATTTCCAAGCTATAAAATGCGTTTATTCGTAGATTCACAGCTCTTTACAATTCCGTTCCGTTCTGATACGTTCTAATTCGTTCTAATTCGTTCTAATTCGTTCTAATTCGTTAACCTCTTACAACAATGTCTTATATACACAAGGAAATACAAGAATGTTGCGGTTGTAACCGCTAAACTTAGTCTTAACTAGTTACAAGCTTTCTTTGTTTGTTATAATCAAGTACGTGATCTACTTTTAGCCCATATGTGCTACATGCAAATGTCACGCGCAATATGTGACATTACCGCGAGAATTAACGTTGCGTGATACAAAGATTAAAATAAACTATTATTATCGGACACACTCCCCCCCTTGACCTGTCAGGGTCAAGCACAATTTGGTAATCACAGTCAGTCGCACTAATGAAAATATAGCCGATTAGTGATCGAGCATGACTCGTGTTCTCCAACGCGAATCCAGTGCAGCTGCCCGCCGTGGGACTTCCCTCCCCGAAGGGGTTTGTTTGACTGCATTTCCCACCGGGTTTATGTTACCCTCATCAGATTCTCTCGTCACACTACACACCTCTAAAGGATACAATTTCTGCACGGCTCTGTTGACAAAGATGGGTTTTCCCTTAGTGATTAGTTTCAATTTAGCACCTCTTACCTCGCCATCTTTGCCTGCAATCAGCTCTAAAACCTTCCCCATTTTCCAGTTACTCCTCTTCACATTGTCTTCGTGCACTAAGACCACTTCACCTTCACTTACATCGCTTCGACCTTCCTTTTTACCACGGTGATGCTCTCTCAAATCTGTGAGATATTCCTTTCTCCACCGATTCCAAAAATGAATCCTCAACCTTGCGAGGTACCTGAACCTTCTGAGAATGCCTGTCTCACTCTCCTCTTCATCGTTTCTCGCCTCCTCCGGCAAACTTAGCAACCGACGTCCATATATCAGGTGAGATGGTGTGAGCATTTCAGCTCCAACTTCGTCATATTCATACGTCAGGGGACGTGAATTCAAGGTTGCTTCTACTTCGGTCAAGACAGTCAATAATTCGTCTGCATTCAGCTTCGCATTTCCAAGAACCTTTCTGAGGCAACGTTTCGCTGTTCCAACCATTCGTTCGTAGAATCCGCCCCACCAAGGAGCCCGTTCCAAAATAAATTTCCAGTCTATTCGATTGCTCTCTAAGTGTGCCCTCACCTCTTCGTTGTCATACAATCGCTTTATCACCTTCGCGGATGCCTTGAAAGTCTTGGCATTATCTGAAATGATTAAAGATGGAACCCCTCTCCTCGCGACAAATTTTCGTAAGCAACGTACAAACGTAGTCGCCGTAAGGTCAGCAACCAAGTCTAAATGAACCGCTCTCGTTACACAGCAAGTGAACAATGCTAAATAACACTTCGCCATTTCTCCTGTCTGGGACTTGACGAACAACGGACCAGCAAAATCTATACCTACCTTCGAAAACGGTGTGGACTCTCTAACTCTGAAGTCTGGCAGTGCTGCTACAGGTGGGGATTTAAAGGGTTTTCCCTGCGCCTTCTTGCAAGTCACGCACTCCTTCAAAACCTTCTTTACAGCCTGCCTACCCTTCGGCACCCAAAACCGCGACCTCAGCTCTCCAAGTGTTGCCCGTATTCCACTGTGCTGCGTCCTTCGATGACATTCCTCGATCATTAGTTTCGTCAGCTTGTGGTCCCTTGGAATGATAATGGGTTGTTGTGACTCTGGTTCCAAATCCGAATTTTCCAATCTGCCCTTGCATCTCAAGAGTCCACCATGGTCCATCAATTTCAGCTTTGTGGCTAAATCCTCGTAGTTTCTGTTACTCTTAAGTTCATCTTGGGAGGACTTTATCCAAATTCGCTCTGCCTCTGCTATCTCACTCCCACACAGCATACCCTCTCTCTTCTCGGTATCATTTCTAATGCATTGCAAATTAAAAAGAAAACGCTTTACCCATGCGGTTACCCTTAACAACCTCCCGAGTCGGTCACCGCGTTTTTTTGTTTAAA